ACGGGAGTCAAGAATCTAATACCGTTCTGGTAACCAAAAATACTCCTAAGCTTTTAATAAATTTACGAAAATACCCATAATAATAATAAAAAAAATTGGGGTGTTACATTTTATGTCATGAATAATATATTTAATATATTGAGACAATTATGTATATAAAATAGATTTAATATAATATTTTTACTAATAAAAATACTAATAACATATGCAATATTTTTCATTCATATATTTGATAATATATATATATTATTAATAATATATGTAACTTAAATAGATAAAAAGAATTATATAATTATAATGTATGAGTAACTAAAAGTCACATAATTACAATATTTGATAGATTAAAATTACTCAATTAAAATTTTAGAGACTATAATTATATAACTATAAAGTAAAATCATATAATTATAATACTTAAAAAAATATTTAAGCATATATTTTATATAAAGTACAAGAATGTCCATAATGCCCCTTTTTACACTGATCTCTACATGAAGGAAATACCCAAGTCATTATGTAAACTCTTTTCCTTTTACACTAGTTATTATATAAAGTCATTATTGATGTTTTTTTTAATCGAAAAAAAAGGAAACATTTCTTATAATAACTACTTTTAGTGTTCACACTTAGTTAGACCAATATGTTCTTAATAATAATTAATTATTTGACTACATTATATTTTTTATTATTTAATTTTTTAAATTTTTTTTTTTTTATCTTTTATCAATCAAAATATTTATTTTAGTTATTGATCTTTTATATTTTGATTAATTTGATCTTTTAAAAGAAATAATTATTTTCAAACTTTTGACATAATTTTGAATCATTATTTTATTGATTAAGACATCAATCTAATAACATTACATTCACCAATATAAACATTACAAAATTTAATTAACATTTAAATTTAAAATAATTATAATCATAGTGAAAATTACGTGAAAAATGTATTTCATAAATAATTAAAAAACAATATAAAATTATTTTTTTGAATTTTTTAATTATTTTTTGGACATATGTTTATGTGATTTTTACCATGTTTATGAAAATTTTTATTTGAATTTTAGTTGTGTTCAACCATTTTCATATAAATAAATATAATAAGACAAGTTTTAAGTTTTGAATTAGTCAAAAAAATAATTCAAAATTATGTCTCAAAATTAAAAATAATCATTATTTCAAAATGATCAAATCGATCCAAATTTAAAAATAAATAACTAAAATAAATATTTTAAAAGATAAACTACTAAAATGAATCTTAAAAGAGAAGCAATTCATTTGCTTCAAAAGTAAATTTTAATGAACCTACTCCCAGAGTAAGTTTTAATAAACGTATTTCACTTAATAACTTATATTTTATATAAAATTTTAATAATTTAATTTTTAAATTAAAATATCTTAATATATAGAATTTTTACAAATTTTTAAAATAATATGATACTTCATTATATAGATTCAAATTAATTTATAAAATGTTTTTATGATTATCCATCAATTTAAATTAATGAATGAAATATCAAATAGTTTTAATTATTTTTTAAAAATTGTAAACTTAATTTATGCATTAAGAACTTTTAATTTAATGATTGGGTCATTAAAAATTAATGTAAAATATGAGTTATTGAGTGAAATAAATCTATCAAAACTTATTTTTAGAATAACTGAATCTCCTCTCATCTTAAAAATAAGATAAAAAATTAAAAGTACAATTTAGCCTCATCTTTTCTATTTTTTTTTTGTTTTCTTTTGTATTTTGTGTCTTTTATTTATTTATTTATTTTTAACATATTCAGCTTCTTATTCAATACTCTAACTATGTAACTTCTCATGTCTCATAACCCATGTCTCATAACCAAATTAAAACTTTTCATAACCAAATTAAAACTTTTCACTGATCACACAATCACACTCTTTATAATCTTATTATTTTAATATTTTTATCTTATTATTTTTAATATTTTTATTTAATAACAAAGTAAGATATGTCTCATTTACCCTAATAAAATATAATAGAAAAATATTTGTGTCTGTTTTTTAATGTAAAAAATTTGATAGGGTTATTTTATGATATTTGTCTGAGGGAATATTTTATGAGGGTTATTTGTATAAGGTTATTACACAAGCATACTCCATAATGATGAGATATTGTCCGCTTTGGGCCTAATCCCTCACGATTTTGTTTTTGGTCATCACTCAAAAAGTCTCTCAATCATTGAAGTATGTTTGTGTTATATAAGTTGTTATTTTTTGTCCTATTTTATAGGTGTGAGACTTGTTTGTATCCAACAATCCTCTCCTCAAACAAGGGACCTAACACCTTTCATGCAGGGGAATCTATCTTTATATATCACATTATATGTTATGAGTTATGAGGGTTGTTACTGCATCTAATCAGGCAGCTCTGATACTACTGTTAGGGTTATTTTATGTATTTGTCTAAGGAAATTTTATGAGGGTTATTTTTATAAGGTTATTACACAAGCATACTCCACAATGATGAGATATTGTCCACTTTGGACTTAAGCTCTCACGACTTTGTTTTTGGTCATTACTCAAAAGGTCTCTCAATCATTGAAATATGTTTGTGTTATATAAGTTGTTATTTCTTGTCCTATTTTATAAGTGTGAGACTTGTTTGTATCCCAACAAAATTATTGTATCTTATCAAAAGTATTTGGTAGAATATAAATTATTCAATATCTTAAAATTATTTTAAAATTATAAATTTTAAAAATATAACTTTAAGAATAATTAAAATATGCACTTAAAAAAATAATAATTGAAATATTCATTATATATTCTTAGACATATAAAAATATATAATTTTCAAGTATTTTAGAAAATATATTATTTTTTTTTCACATATATAACTTTAGAATTAATGATTTTTATTAAATTAAATAGATAATAAAAATAATGTATGACATTTTTACCATAATAAAAGACTTGAGAGAGTAAATAGGCTAAGCTTAATAGTTTTTTGTGTTGTAAAACCACAAGTCTTCTTTATGGTATTCGATCCTTAATCTCTTTTTTGACAACGAATAATAAACTTTTAATATATTTTAAATGTGTCAATTTGAATTAGCATAAACTTTTGGCAGTAGACAACAGAAACAAACACATACGTTTCTTTTTGAAGTCACACAAGCACCATGACAGCTAGTTAAACGCAGAAAACCCGGTTATTATATCCCACGAACTTGAACTTCATATTCATACGCCACTTTCTCCTCCTCAAACCATGCAATTGCAACCCTTTTAATATTTAAATACTTGGCACTGAAACAAGCACGGAGGCACCTAAAAATGGCCACACCAAGATTGATAAAATACTTGGCAGTTTTGCTTTTTGTTAGTTTTGTATTTTCCTCTGTTGCCACCAGGTTCCCTCCACCTTCAGGTACAGACCCTGATTCAGTTAAGCATGCACGTGTCACTAGCAATCTAAGACATGGTCCTCTACTCTGTACACCTGTTAATTGTCCCAACCCAAGTGGATTCTGTGGTGTAACATACATCAACATGGAACCTCAACCCTGCAGCCTCCAACACCAAAACAAAGGATAGGCTATGGCTATGCCTGTGATCCCTATCTGATTATTAAATTGTTGGAACTTGCTTATGTTCTTAGCATGATGACAACTTGTGTGTTTAATACCCATTGCCAATAATTGCTGAATAATGTACAACAACAATATGTGTTGAAAATTGAAGTACTTATTTATCTTCAAAAATAGGTTCAATGTTTCATACTGAGATTTGGAAAGGATAAGAGAGAGCAAAATTAAAGAAGAGAGTACTGCTTATTTGCTTACAAAGTTACAACAAGACTGATTCTGCTGAAAGAGTCATTTTTAAGGTAGAAGTAACATACATTTGTATTCTACCTAGCAACTTCAGTAGAGGATTTTGCAATGTCTAAACTCTGAACCTTGTTACATGGGGATGAAATGGCGAATGCTCGCTTCTCCCCTTCATTAGACAAGCATCTATAAACAGAGAATTTCTAGGATACTATTTATTACACCAAGTTTGAAATTGGTCATACTTTTTGAGCATAATAATGGTCAATTATTCTCCCTTGACTTCAGCAGCATCAGCCCAATTAGCTGCACTTCCAGTGCGAGGAATGCTGGGAATCTTTGTGTACAAATCCACCTGAAAATATACACTCAAGATGTTTCCACTGTCATCTTCATGAGCAACAGCTCGAACCTTGTGAAGTGGATGATCAAAGCTTATCAGCCCGCTTCCATTCATGAAAATGCACCCTACATTCCAATAGAAGTACATGAAAATTGCAAAGCATTCTGCCTAATAGGGAGTAGCAGGAAGCAGAAAAGACCAAGATTCTATTTATAAGAAGAAAAAAAGATAGAGTAAAGTTTCTCCCAAATTAAAATTACCTTGTGCATAAGTTAAAATCAACTTTTAGAGAGGATAAGAAAGTCTATAAATTAGCTCAAATTAAATTTTCAAGAAACTTAATTCGCTTTATCTTCTTATTTTATTGATTATAAATACTTATAGAAAAATTTTATTCAAACGCTTCAGCTTAATAGCTCAGGCTAAATGGTAGTCACAATAATCAAATAGTTACTTTTATCTGAATGGAAGGTTAGTAAAGCTAAACTAACCCGGAGGAAAAGCTGCTCGAGCTTGTCCACATCCCTCTATAATGATTGTAGGGTTATCAGAACAGACTAAGGATCCATCTTTTGCCATTCCCCATTGGAATTCCACACTTCCTTCACGATCCTAACATATGCGGTATTAACCACGTCAAAACCAACACTTACAATGCAAACTATATCCGAGTAGAAATGTAGAATTGAGAAGTAAGAACAAACAAAAGGTAACCATTTGTGATCATAACTCACCCTGGCTATGAAAAGAGTATTTGTCTTGGCATCAAAGATGATGAATGCGAATTTTCCTTCAAGATGTTTAACAACTTGGTCAGGTGGGTAGGGGGCTCGATCTCTTAGGACCTTGTAGGCTTCAACCACAATCATGGCTTCTGTTGCTTGCCTTGGGAGGCCATAATGATGTCTAAGCTCAGCAATGTTTGCTAGAGCTCCCATAAAAATGCAGAAGATATCATCCAAAACAACAACTGACCTGATACATTCACAACAATGAGGAATTAAGGTGTGTTTGGCTTAACAGTTGTAAAATTGATTTTGAAGTGAAGACAGTTTAGATAGTATAAATTTTTATATCCAATACAAAATATATTAAAGTTTTCAACTCAAAATCAATTTTAGTTCCTGCATAATTCTTCGATGTAAGACTAAACATATAAATATTTAGTCAAAATCACATTAGCTGATATACGTGATTTAAAATAATCTAACATAATTCCTAACACACACCGACACACCTAACCAAACTAAAAATGGTTTTCAAGAATTAAAACTAAACTGGGCATCAAGTTGAATCCATGTAATTGCTTCACTGATTTACCAGTATACATAGTAGCCAAGTGTTAATTGAATACGACGTTTTTCTAGTATAATTTTGGTTGAGAAGCGTGAAGAGAATTCAAAGCTATGAACAACTTTGAACTTATAGTACTATTATTAGATTCATTTTTCTTACAGAAAGCTATTTCGTAGCCAGTGAATGTACATGAGAAATGAAAATAGATAAATGTATGAAGAAAAAAAAACCTTTATATCTACCTGGGGTGTATTGGACTTTCGTCAACATGGGACAGAGCCATAAAATTCCCATGTGGAAGGTTGTAAACTGTAGAATCCAGCCACGAAGATTGAAATTTGTCTACAATTTCTTCTGGGGTCTTTGAGTTATTGGACCCCATTGCCGGAAGCCTCAGTTCCTCCGGTGGTTTTCCAATGGCTTTTGCAAACACCGCCAACATTTTTGCTTATTAGTTTAGTTGCTTCAATGTCTGTGCTCTTCTCAAAGCTGATTCAATTAATTATAGACTTCCATAGGACTTAGGTTCAACTATTTTGTGATGGAATGGAACCATTAAAATATTCACAAGCTTACAAATAGTGTTATTGTAGATTATGCATGTGGCAACCTCACAGGATGTTTTTAGTCTCCGCGGTGATACGTGTAATAATACGTACAAGATACATGTTACATGCAGAGGTGGTACCCCAAGTCATTTGTCTGTCTATTTTATTGCAATCTTTGAAAACAGTCCAATTAATTTTTTACTAGGATCATTATATAAATTAGTACTATTGCTTATCATTTTTAATTATTTTCAATCATATAGATATGAGATATGTAACGACCCGGCTGGTCACTACACACACCACTGTACTTTTCATGAGACATTTCAAGAATGCAGAATGAAAAAAATTAACCATCAACATAGATATGTACTTCTTATCATTAATTATTTTTATTTGTTTGACCATATTTCAACAATACTAAATTGTTCATTTTTTGCTTATCTAATTTTATGGCTTATGGGATGACTGAGCCAAGATTCAATTACTACTACAACACATTGAGGAGTGAACCAAAAACTGAAGGTGTAATTGAATGGCTCAACACTATACCAAAAGAACAAGAGTCGGACTCTTGCATGAGACGATGGCTAACGATGGGGACACATGACTACCAATTTGATAAAGGCAATAAATTTCATTCTTAGAAAAATAATAAATTTGTCAATTTCTGCAATTATCATGTAGACTTATAAGAGATGTAATGCCTTATTCATCCAAAGAGGGAAGGAAGTCGATGCTAAGCTTAGGATTGACCAAGTTTATACTGAAATAATCAATAAGGCCATGATAGATGTAGAATCGAAGACTAATAGTCATCATGTCCTCGAATTTGATCATCACAGTATATGTTTTCTGGTGCAAGAAACCATTAACCCAAAAGAAACACAACCGACTGAAAATTTCACGGTTGGACTACATGACAAGTGGTGTGACTATGGGAAATTCAAGAAGCTACACATGTCATGCTCCCATGTTGTTGCTACATGTAAGCATGTTCACCACAATTACAAATCTTACATAGATCATGCCTATACATTACAATATGTTTCAAATGTGTATAACAAATTATTTGGTGAACTACCCAACGAATCTTATTGGCCGGGTTGTGAAGAATCGCAAATCATGCCAAATCTTTTTTTGGTTCGTCCCTTGAGTATCCATCGCCGATAACAGTGACTAATCTCCTCGCTACGTTGGAGGCACCTCAAAGGGTAAGATAGCTGACCCTAAGATTTAACGCGACTACATACACAAGGCAGGATTCGAACCCCTGACCTTGCTTAAGCGTGGATCAACCCCTACCACGCAAATCATACCAAATCTGAAAAAGATTAGAAATAAAAAAGGTCGTCCAAATTCATCCAGAATACGCACTGAAATGGATATCAGGACAACCACAAAGATGTTCTCTATGTAAGAATGTAGGCCACTCTAAGAAAAAATGTCATTATCATCAAGGAAGTTCAAGTGAACAAGTTTAAATTAATAATCGATTGTTGTGTGTCTTTCAAAAATTTCATATTCTGTAATTTTAATTTTTCCAATAAATTTGTACTTTTTTTTTTACCATTTCTAATATTTAATATAATAACATTGTCATTTATTTAAAAATAAATATAATATTAATTTTATTATTAAATATTATTCTTTAAAAATTATTTATTTTAAATATTAAATATATTTTTTATATTCTAAAAATATAAAATATATATTTTTAATTTTTAAAATCAAAAAATGAAAAATGAAAAAAGGAAGTCCATTGAGAAATCGGTTACTGGGTAACCGATTTCTTACTAAATCTTAAATTATGCGCGTCAAGAATCTAATGCTTCAGTGCAGAGTGTCATTGATGTAGAGTGTCATTGATTTACGCGCGTCAAGAATCTAATGCTTTAGTTATGAGTGTCATTGATGCAGAGTGTCATTAATTTACGGGAGTCAAGAATCTAATACTTTAGTCATGAGTGTAATTGATTGAACCCTATCTCCACCTTCTATTTAAATGAGACCATTCATGGGTTCAAATACAAAGTGCAATTGAGCCAAGTATTCATGTTTTTGTGTGTTAGTCTTTGTCTACAACAATGTCTTCCTCTTCTTTCCATGTGTTAGTCTTCTTCAATGGTGAAATCATTCAAACAGACGAAGGGGATTCTTTCCGTGTGTTAGTCTTCTTCAAGACGGTAACAACAAAATCTTTTCAATTGCAATTGTAATTGTTGAGGGTGAAACAGTAGGTGCATGGTTTTTCTTTCTACATTACCTCAAAAGACATGTTTGCCCTCAAGATGACCTACGCTAGACAAGGCAGTGGTTGGACATCGGAGAATTCAGTGCATGTGTTCTATATTCACCACATTGCTCAAAATTTCATGAGACATTTCAAGAATGCAGAATGAAAAAAATTAACCATCAACATAGATATGTACTTCTTATCATTAATTATTTTTATTTGTTTGACCATATTTCAACAATACTAAATTGTTCATTTTTTGCTTATCTAATTTTATGGCTTATGGGATGACTGAGCCAAGATTCAATTACTACTACAACACATTGAGGAGTGAACCAAAAACTGAAGGTGTAATTGAATGGCTCAACACTATACCAAAAGAACAAGAGTCGGACTCTTGCATGAGACGACGAAGAATCCGAGCTTCGGGATCACAGAGAAGAAGATCGGAAAAGATGGTGAACGGAGGAGGAAGAAGGAAATTCGTGCGTCCACAAGCTCTTCCACCTACTCAGCAACCAAGCTTACCACAGCCACCACAAAGAAGAAGGAATCAGCCACCAGGAAAGGAGAGAAAAGGACAACCACTACAAAGAAGAAGGAATCAGCTACTAGGAAAGGAGAGAAAAGGAAAATGAGAGTGAGTGGAAGTGAAAGAGTAAAAATGAGGAGAGAAAAAGAGAAAGAGGGAAGGGTCTCACAAAATATATTCATTACAATAATAGCATGAAATCTCTATTGTGCTTATCCGAAAGCATGGACCAATCCAATCACGCTTATCCATTAGCAACTTTTGGACTATTAGAGTTCTTTTTCTTGTACTTCATATCTGGTTTTTTTTTTTTTTTTTAAATACTTGATAGTAATAAAATTTGTGTTCTTATTTTAATTTTTGTCAGATATTAAGTATATCTATCTATCTAAATTAATTAAATATTTTTTAAAAATAGAAAAAAATTTAATTATAAAAATTTCATTTGATATAATTTTAAAATAAATTAAAAATTATATAAATATCAAATAATTTTTTTAAAAATAAATTAAATTGTTAAAAATTTAAAATCGATACAAATACAACTACAAGATAAATATATATTTATCATTATCTACATATTTAATTTAATAAATATTATTCATACTCATATTGTATTCATTATTCTTCGTTAAAATGTAAGTAAATTTAAATATTATCTATATTTACAAATTTACTTGTTCCTGGAAGGGAAAAAGTGGGGTGTATCTTGTAGGTACATTACATCCCATGATAAGGAGTTGAGTGTAACTACGAATAAACTGTAGAAGATAGACTTTGACGAGTTTCCAAGCAGTCAAACTCTGTAAAAATGGTGGTTTACATTCAATTGCTAAAGTTTATATATTGGATCTCGACATCATTACCGGAGCTTCTAGACTCCACCAATTGACCATAACCATATTATAGCAAAACAAAATTCAATTCCCGAAGCATCAAGAAACTAGTACTATACCACTTACGTGTTTTTTCAGAAACAAAATTTTAAAAGCATTATTCATCTTTAACTTTTCAAGAAGCCCCAATTAGAAAAATTGATGAGTCGATCGGCCTGAGTTATATATATTTTTAAGGACATAGGAGAGAGCTCATTTACCAATTTGAGTACTGCCTTTGGTAAACTAAGTCGGCTGTGAAAACTCGGGATAATTTCAAGCAGCAGTTAAACAATTTCATGTTTTCATTGTTTTAAAGTTTTAACATGACAGTAGGAACAATCAAACAAACCATTTATCTGGATAAATTTATGGTTTAATGACATGTTTATTTGTTCAGAAAAGCCTTATGTCTTATCATGAATATATCTTTTAAGCTAACCTCATTTAGTGCATGTGTGAGAAAACATAATCTCAAATTACAATTGTTTTTTTTTAGATAAAGCTGTTTGAAAAAGAAAAAAGAACTATGCTTTTGGAATAATAGTTTAAATTTGCAAACAGCATTTTTCTTCCGAAAAAATAAACTGTTTTTAAGAAGCTGAAAAAAATTGAAGTTTGTAATTATTTTTCAATAGTTTTTTTTTCTTTTTAAACTGATTTACTACATAAAAATCTTTTTTTTATATTCAAACAAAATTAAACATTTTAAAATCACTTAGCACCAAATTTAACCAAATAAAATTTCATTTTTACTGTAATTAATTATTAAAATAATTTAATTTTCAGAGTTTTCTCAAAAACACTCCATAGTAGGATAAAATTTTTGTTGTTGATGTTGAACTTGAATAGATATCTTCCAGTTATAAAGAATGACTGATGATTGTAAGAGTGAACAGAACAGTACTTTAGAAACAAAGAGGTTCAAAATGAATTTCATGTCAGACAAAAAAATAAAAAGCTATAACACTTGATTTCAGACATACTCTGCATATGTTCACACTTCCTAGCTAAACAACGTTCCTCAATCTCTACTCAACTTTATATTCTTGTACGGCATGAGCACGACTAGCTGATCTCCAAATGATTTTATCTGATGTTGCTTGTCATTTTTTTCCAGTATGGTGGCTAGTTTTTATTTTTATTTTACTCTCTCCCATCTACTAAAAGAAGAAGCTACTTGCAGGATTAGGATAAAAGGATTCAGTTTCTTCTATTTCTTTATTTATATTAACCTATAATTTGACCAGATTTATGTTAACATTATGTTAGGATACATGCATATTCTTTTCATGCAATGAAATGTGAAGAGTGAAGACAGAAGCTCTAGAATTTGTAAAATTATAATCTATATGTACATTAAAGTACGACATTAATATGTCATCGTCCAAACATTCAAACTGCAATATTACATGCTAATGCACTAGTCAATGAGAAGGAGAATGCTAGCTCAATGGTCGATGCCAGCAGCTACTTCCATCTCTTATTTATGCCCCAACCAAACTACCATCTGAAAGAAACCCATTGAAACATGAATGAGGATCATGATAAGCATCAGGAACTCATAGAGAACCAAATGAGGTTAGATGAGTTTAGAAAGTTACGGGGATCACCAATATTTAACTAATTATTTGGCTAGAATTGGAATACCACAGGCTGCAGGAGCATGCTTTCCTTTCTTAAACACAAGGTTTCCTCTCACAAACGTGTCCAGAACTTCTCCGGACAACCTTTTTCCCATATAAGCAGAGAGGCCCTAAATACCAAAATGGTCATTGTTTTACACACGGGACTCAGAAAAAAAACCAAATTATTAGCAAATATATTTTCTTCATAACTTGAAAATTCATATAATATTAACAGCACGTAAGATATTTGTTAATGGTTTCTCCCAAGAGAAAATGAATTAAGAAAACAAATAAAGAAATAATATAGTCTAGAGTGAGAGGAACTTTTTATGTATATATAAAAGTAGTGGTAGGAACAATTTGGTTCCTCTAGCATCTATTTTTCTCAACTGCAATTTGTCAAACAATAACTTTTTACCAAGAAGGTACCATATAAAAGTTTGAGACGGTTTTAATTTTGAATTTAACTTATAATTAAGAACAAATAAGTCATAGACTGAATGAGTTTAATAAAAGGTTAAAGAAAAATAATGACGCACAGGATGTTTAAGGAAAACAGGATAATCATCATTCAGGTCAAACTCCTGCTCTGGATGCCAAACTACGATATCTGCATGGTTCCCAACTGCAATGGCCCCCTAAAGCATAAATAAAAACTTATTCAGATTTGAATTAAAATTATTTTCTAATTAAGAAGCTTATACTTTGACTTGACAATCTCACGAGTAAAATATTTAAGTGCCTTATCATGTGACTTTTTTTTAATAAAAAAAAGTAAAAATTACACAATGAGGTAACATATCAAAAGAACCACCTCTTAGGTTGCTATCTTAGTCAATCTTAAATCTTGAAGCAACAATGAGGTAAAAAGTGTACGAGTTCACTCCTACAAAAAGCATAAGGATCATTTCTTGTAGACAAATACAATCTTGGGGCAACGAGGGTAAGGTTGGCTGTATTAGGACTGAAATAAGTTAAACATTAAATAAACTTCTCCATAAGTTAAAAACTAACTTATACATAAGTTAAAAATAAGTTTTTGGATAACTTAATATGTAAAAACTTCTACAAATTAGGTTATACATAAATCAATTTTAATTTATGGAGAAACTTATTTTTTATTTACTTTCCTTTTTTTTTTCTTTTGTGAATGCTTATGGAAAAATTTATACTAACATGCTGAAAGAAAGAAACCAGAATTATGTCACCTTTGCTTCTAACCCCGCAAATGTTGCAGGTTTTTTGCTCCACAATAATGACAACTGTTCCAGAGTTAGCCCATATTTCTTCCCAGAAGACCACGTCACTGGAAGATCAAACTACAAGTCTCCCAATAGAACATCAGTTAGGCTTCAGAACAATTATAGCATTCACAGTTGCAATATAAGAAAATCAAATTCAACTGAAAGTTTGAAACAAGGACACTAGCACATGGCTTTCTGATCAAAATATTGTATAAATCCACCATCATGGTCCTCAAGGATGACAGCGTGCTTCATCCTCACACTCTAGTTATAACTTTAAATCATTTATATATATAATTATCTTTGGAAGCCACAGTTTTAGGCGCATTTGGGTAAACAACTCAAGCTATATTATCACAGAAAGGTTTGTGTCATACATTTGATCGTGAAACTTATTGGAATGTTACACCAAGAAGATTATTGAAATGAGCTGAAAATAACTAATGGAAGTCATGAACTATTTTCATAAAGTCAAATAAGCTTCCATTAGCTCTTCCAAATGCTCCTAATTGTCATTCAGTGGAAGTACAAGAATGTTTTCTATCACCAGATTATTTGCATTTACTATATGACCATGACTAAGTATTCATTCAATGACCAACTTGTAGAATAACAATAAGAAAAATGGTTTAACTTCACTGCAAGAAAATTCATTAACCTGCAAAGATGATATGCCCCCCCAAGCCTTCAAGAAGTCACCCTCCTCAAGAAGCTTGAGTCCAGGAACAGTCGGTGAATGATCAGAACTTAGTAGGTCAATGTGTCCCTCCTGAAATGAAGAATCAAACAAGTAAAACTTAATAGATCATAAATGATTAAAGACAATATAATACATTGTATTTGTGGACAGGAAACATACTAGTACAGCCTCCCATAATTTTTTTTTGTTGTATGCATCACGAATGGGTGGGGAACACTTAAAACGAGTATCTCCATTTGGTATCCCTTCCGATGAGAAAGCTAAGTAATGGGGACAAGTCTCAACACTTACGCTGTCACCATGACTTTTTGCTTCCTGTACAATATAAATATGTAACATTAGCATTTAGCACTCATATCATGGGAGAAGCTTTCTGGAGTATTCTGAAACAAGCAAAACGGAGTAAAAGGAAAATAACCATCAGGGAAACTGGTGTTTTAAATTTTTGTAACAGATTTTGTTGAATTATGATAAGAAATAAAACTGATATTTCTGTTATTTGTAATTATCTCAGGCTTACTTTATCTTTTAGAATTTTAATTTTGTTTATGGTTTTTGCCTTAGTAAGGTTCTGTGTTTTGATTTTCATTAGGATAATTGTTTATAAATAGTAATTATTAGTTTTGATCTAAGGGTCCCTCTTTTATTTATAGCCTTATAGAAAGGTAGACAAGGATAAGAGGAACCAAGGCAGAAAAATCTGCTAGCCTTGAAGGACTTTGTCATGGGCAAGTCTGCTTCTCACTTTCACTATATGTTGCAAAAAGGAATCTTTTGTGTCTACAATAGTATTTAAGATCATGAATATATACTAAATTAATATATAAAAAAAATAGTAATCTAGAATACTGTTATGCATTTTCTCATTTGATTAGAAGATAGAAAAAAATTACATCATATTTTTTTGAAGGCTGCAGAAGTTTTCTACATAGAATTGAAGTTTATATTTCAGAGTCTTTTCCTAACCCAGTTACTGACATCACTCTTCTTATCTCTATTCTCCCTTCTCTTGATTCTCCTATCTTTCTCTTGTTTTATTTCTTTTCTGTTTGTATCTCTTCGCTTGTTCTCTATCAATTGGTAAATTCCATATTTAACCTTAACCAGGAGTCCATTATCAAACAGCATTGCAAAATGCTAGTCAAATACTAAGCAATGAAAACAGCGTACAATACCTTAATTAGATCTAAGGAAGCACTTGAATCAGACAAGTGGGCAATGTGAACATGTGCTCCTTCTAGAGAGCCACCAATTCTAGTGTGCTGTGTAACACCTATAAGTTCTTTAATAGCTGCTTCCTCCCTAGAAAAGTAAAGAAGACCTATAATACCTTTTTTTCTGGAAATTTAATGAGCATCATGTCAATTAAAGATACATGATATTATTGTGCTCATCCAAGATTCCAAATGGATTTGATCATAGAAAAACATTAGGGACGGATATTTCATATTGCTAGATTCTCTTAAAATATTCAAAAACATCTTGAGAGTAATGTCTTCATAAGTCATAACCACTTCCTGTTATACAAATTACAATGCTCTGGAACAAGGGTACTTTCATCTTCTCAATACCCTCAGTCACATGGTCACACCTTTCCCTCATAAGAGGAATCTCATTACCTATTCAAGCCAAAGCCTTTGGTAAGCTAATTCAGCTATGGAAACTTAGGATAAGTTTAACTGTTTAAGCAGTAGTTTAACCAATTTCACGCTTTGACATTACAGAATGAACAAGCATAACAATCATTTATGTGGAATAATTTAATGGCTTAATGGCATATTTGTTTATTGAGAAAACAAAGCCTTAAAATGTCTTACCAGGAAGGTGGCCTGGTGTTGAGATAGGTCAAGTAAGCGCGGTGATCACCTTTATCATTATGGTCCAAATGATTTTTAGAATGATGTTGTTTCTCAGCATGCACAAGTAAAGGCCTTCTATATCTTGCCAACACAGACAATCCCTCCTGACAAATACTTATGCAGAACAATTGAACAAGGCCAAAAGGAAAGCTACTACTTGGTGTAAAACATTAACCTATCAGATATTTTGAGTGAAAAGTAATGCGATCACACCACAGTATATGAAGTAATGCAACAAATCAATGCCATGTTAATATGCAAGCAGAATGGGGTATGCAAAGAAATATAAAGAAGTGCCATGAACTGATTAAAAAAAAAAAGAAGCTATAACTTAGACATTGTTTGAAAGGAATGTACCTTGATATGGTGAAGAGTAGTCATAGGAAAGTCATTAATTCCGGAAGGGCACATAAAGGACTACAAACAAAGAAAGGAAAGAAAAAAAAGTCAGACCCAAACGCAACAGATATTATAATACAGATATATGATGGCTTGCACTGTGGAGAGACAACTCATGTCATAACATATATTTTGAAGAAATCATGTTTAATTCCAAGATGATGAGATAATAAATGAACACAGAAATTCAGGAATTCCCAGCAAGATAGTGCCAAACCACTTCAAAGATAAATACTAGATTTTTAAAAAGAGCCAGGGTCCCCGGAAAATGTCCAGAATTGGTGAATCCTTATATTCTTGGTACTAAGGTAAATAAATCAAATTAATGCTAGGTAAAGCATTTGATGTAATTAACTTCTTTACATGAAATCGATCCCACTGAATATGTCCTTCACCTCTAAGCAAAATTGCAATAGTGATGCATAAGTTTTAAAATGGTTACCTTCAAACCAAGAACACCAGCATTTAAGAGACCTTCAAGAATACTTGTATTAAGTGCATTTTCAGGGATTAGGCCTCCCCAAAATCCTGCACAAGATTTTTAAAAATATCTCAGAAACTTGATTAATTGTATTCTAATTTCTAAGGCAGAGTTGGTTACTCATACCAACATCAACATAGATTTTATTCTCTGCAGCTTCAAGCTGGAAACATGCGGAAACTTATGTCAGGAGAGGAAAAAATTATTCAATCAACAATTAACCATAAGTAACCTAGCAAATTCAACACCACCAAAGACAGATTACTCTCACAGGATCAAAATTTGAGTGGAAAATTTTAAGTGATAGATATAATTTATTACTTATTACATATATGAAAAGATTCATCATAATAGGATAGATATTATTTATTACTTATTACATATATGAACTTATTACGATTAAAAACTTTAAACCCACATACAAGATCTATCACTGATACCTTAAGTTTCAGTGTTTCCATAGACACAGTTGTAGGGTGATTGTTTAGAGGCATGTCAACCACTGTGGTTACACCACCTGTTGCAACAGAGTGTTGGAACAGATCCATGTAATGAAAATAAACCAAACTAAAGAAGTTATGCATATCAACATCAGTTGACATAGACAGGACAACTATCATTAGGAAGAGAGAGGGTAAAATTATTGAAGTTATCCACCAAGTAACAGAAGATGAGGATTGATAAGTCATAACAATTTATTGTTTTCTTTGTTCTAAGCTTGAAATCTAGATGTACTTAAGAAGCATTGGAAAAAAAATATTAAGATTTCCCCTGAAATATGTTATCACTTTCTAAGGTATACTACTAATGAAGGAAACATCCATATCAATAGAGGAAGAATATTTGCATACCAGCGGCGGCGGCTCTGGTACCAGTATAAAATCCTTCCCATTGAGTTCTTCCAGGCTCATCAAGATGCACATGCCTTCCAAAGTAATTTATATAATTAGAGGGACGACAACCCACAGAGATCATGTTAAGATATAAAAAGAACCATGCGGAACTCAACTTATTATGAAGGTATTGATAATCAACTTTTCTAGTCTAGCATTCCTACTTGTAATACAATTTGTTTTTCTTCTAAAAATTAACAGAAACAGAAAAAACTCGAAACTGCTTTCCTCCTCTTTTTAATTTTTGTTTTAGCTTTTTACTTACCCTAGTTTCCTTTAGTTGGTTAAAGTTAGAGGGTACTCATGAAGCAAAAATTATAGCATAAAAAATTATTGATGGATAATAATAATTTAGATAGATAGAACTTATTCCGGCAGGAAGTAAATCCTTTTTTCAGTTCCTATGTGTATATAATCTTCTTTGCAAGCCCGCTACTTTTATGCAACAATCTAATCGTTCCAAATGAATTTTACTTATAACGACTGCTACCAAGATTAATGAGGCAGAACTCAATGATGAAAAATGTATTAGAACCATATTTTCACTATAATTTTAACATTTTATATTACAATAAGTGAGGAAAGCAATATGGATCAAACAATGCCAGTGTTCTCTCAAAAGCCAAGTCTTCAAATTGACCATTTACACCTAAGTCTTCTTAACAGTCTCTAACGTGGAGTTTCTCTTGGTATTCCACTCTCCCTCTACCTATAATTATTAGGCTCCCTCCTAAATCTTCATGACTGCTTCTATTGGTCTTATTCTCACATGAGAAAACCATCTTAGTAGAATTTTACCATATTTTCTTCAATAAGTGTGCTATTCCCACTTTCTCTCTTATAAATATTGCATACCCAAAATTATTATTACACATTTCAAAATATTTGTATTTAGAACATGCAACTACAGAACAGTGGCAGAAATAAAGAATGAGAAAATTATTTTCATATCTTACACATCGACCAATCCAGGCATGACAACAGCATCTGCATAATCGATTACTTCTTGCTTAGACTTCCCCTTCTTAACATATCCCTCGATGACAGATATTATTTTCCCTTCATTTATCTCCACTGTTAATGGTCCACAAACAAAAGAATTAATACGCATGTACATAGTGATAGCTTGGTGAAAGTAAATATTTTTAAAAGCACTATATAGTAGTGTGTGTCCATCCATATATGGAAGTGTCTGCCCAAATGTCCAAATTGTGTAAAAGGTGTCGACTTAAGTATCCCCGAAACTGAAAATAATTTTTTAATTGGACACCTAATGAAGTAATGAGAAATGTCTAACACACCACTGCCACACGTCAACAAGGAAAAAGTGTCCATGCTTCATAGGTCCTAACTCCTAAGACCTTCACCTCTAGTGTATCCTTTTTTATCTTTTCTCTATCCGTTATTTTAGGATAATCTTTAGAGTAAAACATCATGGAACAAAATGAAAAGTGTAAAATAAAAATACAATGATGAAGGTTTAAAAAAGTAAAACCTGAACCAGAAATGATCCCTTGTGGGGTCACAATGCGTTTGCTGGATATCCAAAAATGGCGATGGTGAAGAAGGCTGCAATTTTTCCCTGGTAACTGTGGCACGAAAGTCTATATTTCAATTCTCAGACCATGGCATTTGAGATTAATTATCATAACAAAAATTCCAAACTTGTCACAGTGGCTATGTATAGTGGAAAAAAACGAGAAAGTCTTGTGCACAACTTATAAGTCAAAGTTGAACTAAAGGATTTTAAGATTTCAGAGTCTGTCGACATAATGATGGATGAAAAAGCATGAGAAAGAATTAAAGTGCATAGATGGTGGACCTTGATGTGAGTATGTAACTGGGCCCTGTAAGAATCCTGCAAGAAAAAGAATACTATCAAAGAGACGAGGATTGTTAGCAAAGGTAACTCCCTCCATAGAAACTGCTCCATTTCTCACAATCATTATTGTTCTCTCCCTCTCTCCTTTTATAGTTTGATTATGGTATAGCTATTGCAGCAGACACAGTACAGATGTCATCTTAAGACCAGGCCGTGTGTAGAAATGTTACAATGTTGAGGTCACAAATTGTTTTATTATTCATTTATAACATTATACAAAAAATTAGTTTACAATTGAACTAAAATAATTAAAAAAAACTAGCATTAAATTGTACACCTGAGAATGTTATTTTAGTTATTGTATCATATTTACACAAAAATAACTTTGTTAGTTTAAGTTAAACAGAAAGAGTGATAAATTAAATTTTTAATAATAAAAAAATTTAACTAATTGAATAAAATATGGCTTCAAAATGTAATTTGTAAGTCATGATCTCTACACTTAAAAGTTCATCAACACGCAACGAAAATAAAATAATCAATTCTAGCTAAGTATATCATTATGATCAAATAAATACTCGACAATTACTATAAACATACATATTTACATTTACTAACAATGCGATACATACATGTATATATAATTGTACAGTAATCCATATGATCAAAATATTTCTAAGTGTCGATCAAGCAAAACTATACAATGACTACCAATAGGTAGCCTTAAAAGGGGATATCAACTCCAATACCATCAAGTGGCCTCCACTGCACATCTCCATAAATTTATTCATGTTCTACTTCCATTCTAATATGATCATCGCAATCCAAATTACATGGAAACACGCGAGAGTAAATTAGAGTTAAAAGAAACAACATATACAATGAAAGAATTATAAACACTATTCATCATCACATCATATTTATTAGCAACTATTCCAACAACATTTAGCACTATCAATACAAGCAACTCGGTATATAGCAACCCAAGGTCAACACAGGCAACACATATCAACATCTCATAACTCAACACGTCAACATACTTCATTCTAGATCAATATTGCATATGAACAACACAGTTTAAGCAAACACATCATATGCACAATACAATAATTATATGCATTATCACACATTTCAACTAAGAGATCTCCTACAATACAAGTGAGCCGTCTAAGTTGCTTAACCCTACCGAACCAATAAACACAAATGATATTTTTGGGCTTGCTAGATCAACAACAAATTTGGATTTCACTATACAGCACAGTCACGATTTCTCAAATGTCGCCACTTAAACTAGGAAAGTTTGGTTCCGTAGTCATGACTTGTATAGTTGGGTATAAACGTACCACAACCATGACATGCATTACCACGTTATTTGTGAAATTAGACCACTAGCTATCCTCAAGGAACCACATAACTTTTACAGTAATCAATTAAGGGTGGTAGTCATCGACTTCATACTTTACTCCACATCAACTAAGGATATAGAGAAGACTCAACTTTTCACTTTAAGGACCAACTTCCCAATAACGATTTTTAACAAATTAGGTTCTCGAAGCACCACAACACAATATCTACACAATGGGATATACAACTTTTAAAACAATTTTTTCTCTAATCCTAGGTCGATCAACACAGTTTAATTTTCAACACCATGCCTAAATAACTAAAGTATTCTCAATATTCATTATGTCAACAACAAAGCAACATCACACATAGATCATAGTCATCATAGCTACACAACCTCACAACATACTTTACATTCATTCATTTCAACTTAACAACATGTTCAAAACTAACAACCTAAAACATCATCTTTATAAATCAATGCACATCATATGAACTACATTTTTCATCTCAACACATGTATTAGGTCAATCTACTCTTTTCATGCTCACCAATCAACATACAATAACTACATTGAGTCTTCATCACACATCATATAGAACATGACCTCCAAAAATAGGTAAAGAACCAACACTTGAAGTACCCTTAGGCTCGCTTTGAGCGACGAAAATTCGCTTTGGTTGAGCTTAGACAAAGAACACCTCTTAGGAGTCTCGATTTGATCGCTTCAAGTGAGTCAACTATCGTTCTAAGCGAGCGTAATTTGCTTAAGGCGTTCAAGTATTTGCTCTAAGCAAATGTAGTCAAAGACTATCCCTACAACACCTTCTTACCTCTCTCTAAGCGAGTAAGTTCTCGCTATGAGCCATCATATCTCACTTTGAGTAAGCCAAGTCAGAGAGCACACCTAACTTAGTTGCATATGCTTGCTTTGAGTGACCTCCTATGGGTGCTTCAAACAATCGAACCTAGAAAACATGCATGAATGCAACAATGAACGTAATAATGGAAGAACCACCCAATCATTCTAAAAATTCACTCATCCAACTACAAGATTCATACATACAACTCAAAAATAGTCATCTACTATCATCACACAACTCAAAAATTTCATAAGACACTACATGCAACTATCAAGGTATCAAGATCACCCATTTTTTTCCAACTCATTCAAGAAAACTCATTCAAGAACATCAACAACCCCAACTTAACATGCAATCTACTTAAATTCAACCAATTCAGCCACGAATTTCAGGGGTTCAAACAAAATTTAGTTTCACGAATTAACAAACAACCAAACAACCCATCTAAAAATTAAGAATCTAGCTTCCCTTACCTCTATAATTTGAGAATTTGAAGGGAAGAGGAAGAAGATGCTCCACAAAAATTCTGCACCAAACCCCAGAGTAGATCTTCAACACTCAAAGTTTCAATCTTCGTCTAAGAATCTAAGAAGAAAAAATGAAGGTTTCAAAATCTTCAAAACTCCTCTTACTATTCTCTCTCTCTAACTCCTTTAAAAAAATGAACTTATGAAGTTCATTTTTAAAGAAAGATCTTAAATATCTTTCTTCTACATGTCTAACTTAACTATTACTTAAAGACGTTCTTAACAGCAAAACTCACAAGAATTTTTCACCAACTTCTTGAACTTCTAAATACAAAACAACAATTCAGCATAATAACATATAATTAAAAATAACTATAACGTCCTATAACTTACCGTGTTACATAATTTAACCTTAATTTTTTACTCATAATTCACTCCTTTCATCTTTCTTTTTAAATGGGAAAATTTACATTTAGTCACGAGTCTCACAAATTTTGTTGCATTCTTTCACTTTTTGAAATGTATCAAACTGTGAATGAAAAGATAAACGTGCCTTTCTTCTCATCCCCTCCATTATTACTATGGTTGCACTTTTTTTTATGAGCAAGAAATTTAAAGACCTTACGCATACTTTTTCAACCTATCTCTTAGCCGACTCAATGATTGAGTTGCCGTTTAGTTTAACTGAATGACAAGTGTGAGATTAGGATTTAGGTTCGTGTTCGTTTTGTAATTGTATGCAATTTGTGTTAAATATTCTGTTCCTAATAGTAAAAATGCAGCGAAATAAAAGCTACATGAAGAATATAAAAGAAAATAAAACGACATAGCATCCTATTCAGTTCCGAATTAGTGAATTCCACGTTCTCCAATGTCAGCAACAGTACGACGTGGAGTGCTAGTAAATAGTAGTAAAAGAAAAAAGAATCAATTATTCTTTCTTTTTTATTATTTTTCATACAGTATATATGATCCAACTCTTTTAATTTTAATTTTTTAAATGTATTATTAATCTTTAACTTTTCAAGATGCCCTTAAAAACCAATTAATGGCGAGTGTTTTTCTCTATGTGTATCCTTTTTCAATTGGAATTTGATGAATCGATATGCATACACATGAGTGTGTTTACCAGATCGCATTTAATTAATTTATAGTTTGATTTCACTAAAGTAATTGTTTTAATTTATTTTAATAATTTATAACTTTATTTTTAAAAGTTATTTTAACTAAAACTAATTTATTACTTATAAGTTTCTAGTTTTTTTTTTTAATTTTCACAAATATACTTGAAATCTCCTTTTACCCTATTTTAGATTACTTTGTTTGATGTCAAACTATTACTTTTAATTAATTATTGCATTGTTTAATCTTAATTTAATTAAAAAAATTGATAACAATTGAGAATTATTAAAAAAAATTATTGTTTTAAAACAATATTATTAAAAATTATTTTAAAACAAAAAAAAATGACTTAAACAATGAGTTTATTCAATTAAATTATATATTTTTTAGATTAAAAAAGAAGAAATTAGCAAATCTTCACCATTTTTTATAATATAAAATTCATAAAATATTGTCCTAGTTTTTAAGATGATATGTTATTAGAAATGAACCAAATATTAGTGAGACACAAATAAATGTATGTTATAATCAAATAATTAATTGTCACACAAAAAAAACAAATAATTAAATATTTCCTTTTTATATTATTTAACATTAATCATTAACTAGTATAATAAAGTTTCAACTTTTTGCTCTAACTTATGCTTTATAAGCTTTTATTAGTTTATAAAATTTCGGACGACTAATATGTTAGTTTTGCTAAACACGCTTCAATGTTTCTGTTTGTTCTATCTCCTGTGTACTAAAAGAAGAAGAATTTACTTGCAAGATTAGTTGTGTGTTTGGATCCACCATCATGTATGTGTTGGAATTCAAGTGTGAAGCGAAGTCTCACATTAATTAGAATTAGGCATGTTGAGTGATATATAAGTGAGAAAGACTCACCTACCTTATGCATTAAGGTTTTATGATATATTGTGGTGTCAAGCTCACTTGTGTGACTTATTCACTACCTATTGTTAGGGGTGTGCAAAAAATCCAAATTGATCCGAACCGATTCATAATCAATCCAATCCATATTGAAAAATCCGGTCCATTTTGAAAAAAAATCCGAACCGAACCACTATATAAAACCGGTTCAGTTATCCGATCCATTTTTACAAAGTGGATCGGTTCGGTTCGGTTTGGTTTTCTAAAAAAACTGATCCATATATGAGTAAAAAAGTGGATAACTGCACTGCACCGAACCGATCCAATTTCAAAAAAACCGATCCAATTTTAAAAAAACCAAACCGATCCACTTTATAAAAAATGGATCAGTTAACCGATCCACTTTTATAAAATGGTTCGGTTCGGTTTGGATCGATTTTTTGAA